GCTACCTGGAAAACAGGACCCCAAGAAAGACACGTGGATCGCCCAATGACGGAGAAATGGCTGAGATCTACATGAACAACCTGGACATGAGTGGGAGTAATGAAGGGTGAGGGTTGAGGGAAAGAGAGCTTGTGGGAGCGGGAGATCCCAACTGAATCAAGAACAGAGAGGGAGAACAAGGAATAGGAGACCATGGTAAATGAAGACCACATGAGAAAAGGAAGAAACAAAGTGCTAAAGAGGCCCACAGAAATCCACAAAGATACTCCCACAATAAACTGTTGGCAATGGTTGAGAGACAGCTGGAACTGACCTACTCTGGTGATGGGATGGCCAAACACCCTAATAGTCGTGTTAGAAACCCCATCCAAGGACTGAGGAATCTGGATGCAGAGATCCACAGCTAGGACCCGGGTGGAGCGCTGGGAGCCTAATTAGTGAGAAAGAGGAGGGTTTATATGAGTGGGAATTGTTGAAACCAAGGTTGGATAAAGCACAGGGACAAATAGCCAAACGAATGGAAATACATGAACTATGAACCAAAGGCTGAGGGGCCCCCAACTGGATCAGACCCTCTGAATAGGTGGGACAGTTGATTGGCTTGATCTGTTTGGGAGGCATCTAGGCAGTGGTACCAGGTCCTGTGCTCATTGCATGAGTTGGCTGTTTGAAACCTGGGACTTATACAGGAATGCTTGGCTCAACCTGGGAGGAGGGGACTGGACCTGCCTGGACTGAGCCTACCAGGTTGATCACAGTCCTCAGGGGAGGCTTTGCCCTGGAGGAGGTGGGAATGGGGGGTGGGCTGGGGAAAAGGGGAGGTGGGGAGGAGGGGGGAGAACAAGGGAATCTGTAGCTGATATGTAGAACTGAATGGTATTGTAAAATAAAATAAAAGGAAAAAAAAGAAATGAGCTTCTTGTAAACAATTTATTTTTAAAAAGCATTATCACTTGACTCAAGCTAGACTTTATTATGCAAATCAAATAGAAATTTTAGGCACTGTCCTGTGAGTTTGGGCTGTGTTAATTTAGCTATCTCATGTACCAAACTGCCAGTCTCCAGTGTGAGCATATATATGTAGCTGGAGTTTTTTCCAGTCCTGCTTAGATAAATCTCACAGGATAAATCTCTCTCACCCACTAGTCCTGTAGCCACTTAGACTGAACTAAGTAAACACACAGAGACTTATATTACTTACAAACTGTATGGCTGTTACAGGCTTCTTGTTATCTAGCTCTTCTATCTTAAATTAACCCATTTCTATAAATCTATACTTTGCCACATAGCTCGTGGCTTACCAGTATCTTACATGTTGGTACTCAAGGCAGCAGCTGGCAGCGTCTCCTGCCTCGCCTTCCACTTCCCAGAATTCTCCTCTCTCCTTGTCCTACCTATACTTCTTGCCTGGCTACTGGCCAGTTTTATTTATTAACCAATCAGCGCAACACATTTAACATACAGAACATCCCACAGTATATATATGCATATATATAATTTTAAACATATGGAAGTGCTTTTATGAATCATGCTTATATCAGGTTATAAAGCAATTTTCACATTAAGATGGTTTAGGATTAGATTTGGCTATGAGCTTCTAAAAATCAACAGAGGCTATTCACATAAGGTTTTCTTCTCTCATATAAAAGTCTGGGGAATAGCAAATCAGAACTAGTATGGAAGTTTCACAGATGGTCACAAGAGATCTTTCCTCATAGCTTTCTTCTCTGCCATTCCTTGGGTAAGATCCAGAATGGCTGCTGGATACCAACTACAATGCTCACCTTCTGTGTAGCAGGAACAGGAATATAAAAGATTGTCTCAGGAAGCTGTATAAATGATTTCCACTAATGCTCCATAGTGCAGTGTACACCTTATCTAAGTGTGAAGGGAGCCTGGAAAACGTAGTCTATATAACTCTGCGAGTCCAGCTGAAATGTGAGATTTTAATATTGAAGAGGAAGAAGCAAGGCCTGAATTCACCTCTCTTACGCAGAGGCTTTGAGTAGCCTCCGTGGCCAGACAGCTTCTTTATCCCTATATTCTAATTCTGGTGTGGAGTCTTGAAACTTCCTATTCCTGGAAATCCCTGTGCTTCATACAGCCTTCAGAAAGTTGGAAAGTTAATTTTTAAAATCATATACCTTTAAGCAAAGGGGAGGGCCTCTAACTCATCCCCCCCCCCAAGAGACATTTAAATATTTCTTCTTTTTGTTGCAATGTACAAGGCCCAATTTACTTTTCCTTGCTCCTGATTTGTGAGCAGGAAAACGCAAGATAAAAAAGAAGAACCAAGATAATGGCATATGGACCGGCGCAGGGAATGTGATGTTGGGAGGCCATGTGATTCAGGAGGTTGTAGTCTTCTGAGATCAGTGGTCAGAGAAGCCAAGAATCTAGAGAGCCATGGCCTCAATCAGGGAACCATGACTAGAGACATTAAAATTTCCTCGAGTAGCTACAGCAGAGCCTGTGCTAACCAGACTGTACCGAAACCTTTGTCTATAGCTATAATCCTCCTGCAGTGAAAGACTTCTAGTGTCCTAAGATTGGTTTCCCCCACTGTTTTCTTAAAAAATTATTTTATAAACAAATTCTTTGGGGTCTAATGTATTCTGGAGTTTGACTGGCTGTCTTGGGAAATCTAGTCTTCTGGGTTAGGAAAATGATGCATTTTCTTGGTGATACATTCTGCTCCTCTGTTCTGGGCTTCCAGAGTCCTCATCATCTAAGTTTGTATGGTAAAAATACTGAATCCTTAGCTCACCACAGTCTTCCAGCTCTTAGGAATAAGAACTTCCATTTCTAAGGTCCAATAGATGCTACCCTGTAAGATGAATTGCTAAATGGTCTTATTAATTAAAAAAACAAAAACAAAACAAACAAACAAAAAAAAAAAAACCAACAACCCGGTGCCAGATATTGTGGTGAAAACTGAAAGATCAGAGAAACAGCAAAAGCCACAGCCAACCCCACCTTGCCAGTTCATCAGCTGATCCTGTTTCTAGGAATCCTCAGACTGAAAGCCTCTGAGTCCTCATCTCTGAGGGTCTCAGTTGAACTGCCTAAAAGCCTCTAGTTCCTGGTCCTCACGCCTTATATACCTTTCTTCTTCCTGCCATCACTTCGTGGGATTAAAGGCGTGTGTCCTTCCCAAGCAAAAACATGAGATCTCAAATGCCAGGATTAAAGGTGTGTGTCAGCATTGCCTGGCTCTGTTTCCAGTGTGGCCTTGAACTCACAGAGATCACACGGATCTCTGCCTCCTGAGTGATAGGATTAAGGGTATGTGCCACCACTGCCTGGCCTCTATGTCCAATGTAGTGACTGACTCTGTCCTCTGATGCAGAGATAAGTTTTATTTGTTTGAGCACAAATAAAATACCACCACACTATCCACAATGCTTCTGTACATGGTCTAAGTATATCTTTTAATTTTCAGATGATCCTTCCTAGTAATAATTGATTGATAATCCATTGAATTATCCTTTGGTAGAGAATGCACAACACTGAAAATGGTGACAGTGATATTTGAAGAACTTGAAATCCTTTAGGGTTTTTTTAGGGAAGTTAAAAAATATACTAATCCTGAACAGGTTAAAGAAGGGGGAATTAGGAAGAATTAGTACCTAGTTGAATGAATGCTTCCCATTTTATGTGAGAAAGGAATTTATTATTATTTCCCAACAACACACAGATATTGCTATTTTCGTATACTTATGATGAAATAGGCAGTGGCTATGAGCTATTTTTTATGTTTGAAATGTCAGCTGGAGTCAGTAATTAAAATCAGAAAATGCCTTAGTAGGGAAATGTTTTAGTGCCTGACATTGATGGTGATTAATTAATTTTTCTTTCATGTGGCTTCTATTTCTCCAGACCTGTGTATCAGAAACACATGAACAGATGTCCCAAGTTTTCTTAAACAAAGACTTTGTGCAAAGAAAGAAAAAGGCCTTGATAAACGCGGAAACAATATGTCCTGGGATTTTGGAAAGGTATTCATTTTCTCTTCTTTTGTTTGTAGAATCCACACATCTCAGGAATGGTTTATATGCACAGGAAAGAGGCAAGTATGTTCCAGCTATGTGCCAAGTATGTCCCAGTTAGGACTGGGTCATAACTGTCTCTACTTCCTGCGTATTCTCTACCCTATTTCCAAAAGGATTCTTCACCCTTAATCATTTGCCAATGAAGGTTTTACTTATTCAAGGTTCAACTAAAACTCACATTTTATTGATAGAATTTTCTGGCTCAGGGTTCTTACTGTTTGGGTTTGAACCTCACTTCTACAAGTTGCTTGTCAAAGTTCTTTGGCATCTATGATCCTGACTGTATATGTGTAAAATGGGAATTATTTAAACACTTACGTCAGAGGGTTGTTCTGAAGTTTGGAAGAAATAAAGTATGAAGCATGCCTAGAACTACCGTTTGCCAGTCAGAATTAGGAAAGTTGTCATTGATCAAGATTAGTGTCTCTGCTGTTCTTGCAGTCTGATTCAGGTATTTTTAAGTCTGATTCATGGGGGATGGCAGGTATTTCTTTGTGTGTATTTCTCCAGAAAGAGACAGAGTTCTTGAGGGTAGCAGCTATGTGTAGCCACATCTGCTGTCTTATACCAGGCAGAGTACCCCTCCAGAGAAGTACATAGAATAGTCTTTGTTTTATATTGTAATTATTGGTAAATGCTCAAAGTAATGATGAAAACATTAAAATCTCTTGTTGGCTTATTTTAGTTTTCAAAGTATATAAATATTGCAAACTTCAAAAAATTTTCTGAAAGTCATTGGCTCCATATTAGTTCTGAATGGCTTTGAAATGTCAAATGTGGAAGTCTGATGTAGTTCTTAAAAGACACTGTCTTGCTTACAGGGATCCTGAATTGCCTCCCACAGGCTTTCGGCATGTTTTTATGGGATCCCCACCAGATCAGAGAAAACCGTAAGTTGTCCCTAAACTGCTGCTGATTGTACAAAATGTTGATTCAGCAGCTTTGTTTGCTGGGGTGAGGAGTGTTCCAAGGTCAACAAAATGCCCTTTATATGACGTTTTGGACTTTCCTATAACAGCAGATGTTTTGACCATAACGAGGCACATCATCAATGACAATAATGACGATAGTAACAATAATGACCACAACAAGGGCTTATTTGTGAATTCTCCTACTCTCTGACATTCCTTGCCACTCTTCAAATGATGGCAGGATGGCACATGCTTACATTGCCAGCACTTGGGATGCTGCGGTGAGGGTGTCGTGAGTTCTAGGCCAGCTTGGGTTACATAGTGAGACCTTTTTCAAAACAGACAAAATAAACATGCACTGTGAAAAAAAAAAGCAATACTTACACAGCTGATGAAATCATCTGTGTCACGAGCAGATAATCAAGTCACCTGTGCACACACTTGTAGCTGAGACAATAAAAGATGATCTCTGTGCTGTTGCAGCTCTCACACTATGGACATGTGTCCTTTTCACAGATTGCTAAGTATTAGGCTTTGCTAACTTTCATGCTCTTTGTCAGTTTCATTAAAAATGCTGCCTAAATGTAGAGCTGGAGAGGTGTCTTGTGGCATGCCTTTTGGCAGGAAGAAATTCCAGGCACTAAGGAAGCTTCATTCACACAAGAGTTATGGAATAATTGATAGTTAAATTCAAGGTACCTGAACCTTGTGAGGCAGAGGCAGGAGGATTGCATGTTTGAGACCATCTGGGTTAGACAGTAAGGCTCTTTCTCTACCAAAATGAGAAGAAACCTGTAGTGATATTTAATTTGTGCTCTTACAAATAACGCTTGCCTGGGGATCAGAGGACAAAGCCAGTCACTATATTAAACATAGAGGTCAGACAGTGGTAGTATACGCCTTTAATCCTAGTATTCAGGAGGCAGAGATTCATCTGAATCTCTGTGAGTTCAAGACCACACTGGGAACAGAGCCAGACGTGGCAGCACATGCCTTTAATCCTAGCACTAGTTAACCATAGAGGTCTGGAGGTCTGTACAGACAGACAGGAAGTGATAGAGCTAGGCAGAAAAAGGAAGTGATGTATCGGGGCAGAGAGAGGAAGTAAGAGGGCAGGACACACAAAGTTATATAAGGTGTGAGTATACAGGAAGCAGTTCTTTGGGGCTGAGGATTTCCTAGCGGTAAGAACTTGTGGCTGGCTTGTTCTATTCCTCTGATCTTTCAGCTTTCACCCCAGTATCTGGCCTGGGTTTTTTTATTATTATTATTATTATTATTAATAAGACCATTTAGCAATTTGTGTTACAGAAACCAAAACCAAAACACGCCCGAGCCCTGGAGGCTTGCAGGAATCTGACCTCACCTTTCCTCTCGTGACGGTTCAGTATTTGCTAATTTGGTGTTTGTGGCTGTGTCCTAGAGCATGGCAGTAAACAAAGAGAATCCACTATACAGCAAGCAAGACATAAATATTTTTATGGGTAAAGAAATGTACTCATTTGAGCTTAGCAAGAATTGTCATTGCAAAAATAGTTCTGACCCACTCATCTTTCTAAAGACGACACAATGTTCGTAATGTATAAATACATGGAAATAGACTCATGGGCATGATGAGATTCTAAGCGTCTGGTTCCGTATTATAGGACTCACTATAGTGACAGATGTGGGCCTTGTGTCACTCTGCCAGATGCTTTACTCTATAGCCTTGCCTGATGTTAGGAGCATTTCGTGATTTATCTCTCCTTTTCTGCACTCTAGTTTGCAAATCCTTTATTTGGAGATGGAGTTGCTTGTCTGGGTCCTCTGATTTTCTTAGCTTTTTTTTTTTTTTTTTTTTTACTCTCTCTTACTACGTATTGTTTTGTAACATCTTTCCTTTCTTTTGAATTCACCTTTTGTTACCTGAGTTCACACCCACTGGATCTTTTTCTTCTAGATCTAGAATATTTTTTCTTTGCATTTTTTCACTTGTGAGTTGTCTGTCTATCCTGGAGACATGTTTCTAGGCTGGTAATCTTTGGCATTTACAGACATGATCAATGGTAGGATTCAAAGCCCGTGAGACATTCTGACATAGAGCTTCAGTGGAGGGGACTATGCAGGTCATTGCTTCCAAACAGCATCATGGTCAGATTCCTAGTGGAGGCTCCCAGTCCTTCAGCTGAAGAGTGAAAGGCCTTTGTCCTTGAAGGCAAGGGTAATCATGCTGGGGCATCATTACTAAGTCTACCGATAGAGTCCCAGGATTAGGTTGTTGACCAAGGACTTTCTCTTTTCCCCTTTCCAGTGAGTGAGTCTCCTGATGAGAAGGGATGAGGCAGTTGCTCTGCGGTCACTTGGGAGGGAGGCAGGGATTAGAATTTTACCACTAAGCAAATATTTCCTCCCAACTCTTTTTGCTGACTTTTAGATTAACTTTTCCAAGCCAGGTTCCTCTTCTTTTGAGCTCTTAAAGGTTGTTTCTCCTGTTTCTTCTGCTCTCTCTGTTCCTGTGGGCTCTAATTTCTAAAATATTCTAAAAAAATAAAGTTTTTAAAGTATTTTTTATTTTTTGAGATTATAATATAATTACATCATTTTCCCCTTCCCTTTCCTCCCTCTAAACCCTCCATATACCCCTCCTTGCTCTTTTTCAAACTCATGGCCTCTTTTTTCATTAATTGCTATAACATGTGTATATGTGTGTACATATATATGTGTATACACATATATTTATAATATGTGTATTTATATACTGATATATATGTGTATATACATATATTTATACATATGTGTATGTATGTATATATTGATATATATGCATATATTTATGTATTTAGGAATATGCATATTCCTAAAGTTTTAATAGAGTCTTTGAGGAAGCAGGATTGATGTGCATGTTTAAGCCCAATTCTGAAGTCATACAGTCTCTCCTGAAAGATCATCTTTTCCTGAAGACCTTTTTACACTGTGTCCCTATCCCCATGACCTGGTTAGGTCCCTCCTTTTAGATATCCATAGCACCGTGCACCTCTTTTGTCTAAACATCATTCATCTTTTCATGTTATGATTTGGATCCCTGTCTTTCTTGCTGAGTTCCATACTCTGAATGGCAAGGCTGCCATGGCTCCATCCCCTATAGGTTCTGGAATGTGGATAAGCTGATATGCTGTAGCAGTAACATGGTTACAAATTGTTGATTTCTAATGTTCAACAGCAAATTATAAGAGAAGAGGAAGGCCAAATTCCTATCTTTCTTGATTTAAGGATTCAAGGCCTGTAGATCAAAATGTTTGCAGTTTTAGTAAATGCTTTTGAAGACAAATCTTTTAGAAACCAGCACTTACTAGCTTGAGTTGCAAGAGTTACTTGTTTGTGTAATTTGATTTGTGAGTATGAGCAAGGAAATAAACATATGTTCAACTCCAACCCTCTTCAACTAATTCCATATGTAATTCTTCCTCTCAGTGAATGTATATTAATTACAGGATGGCACACAGTACAATCCTGTGGCAGTTTGAAATCCACTCTCTTGAATATTAAAATTTCTTGTGCTGTTTGCTAGCTGTACAGCTGTGGAAGTTAAATGTCAACTTTAAAAGGCAATGAATAAAAATGAGTTTGCTCAATGGACCAAAATAATGTGCTTCAGCTTATAAAAGTAAAGCTGTATTCATAATGTAAATTTAAACTTCATGTTACCTCTTAAGGAAAAAAATTAGAAACTGGGTATAGCCTTGCTATTTAGGACCTATTGTTACCTTAATTTCTAGATAACACCATTTATGTTGTAATGGTGCTAGACTGTGTACTTCATTTTTTCATAACTCAACCCATGGCTGCTATATCACTTTGCACAAATATGAAGAAAACACTATTTATTCATAAATAGGTAATGATACTTCAGTGAAACACTGGGTATAAGAACAACTACAGTGTTTCATGGCACTGTCTTGACACTACTGACTTTAACTAGGCAAAGAGGCTCCATTAATAATGTCTTCTTCACATTCCATGGACTAAGGAAAAGGAGAAAATTGTACTAGAGAAATGAGGTAGCTAGTCTTGGCTTGTCAATTTGATGGCATCTGGAATCAACTAAAACAAACTGCTGGGCACTCCTGTGAGAGAGTTTCTTTATTAGATTATTGAAAGCAGGAAGACTCATACTAACATGTGAATAGTGCCTGCCAGTGACTGCCTTTCACTGATGTGAGAACCAATTCCTTGTAGATCAAATCAAACCAATCCAATGTAGATCAAAACCCTGCATCTCTCTAGGAATTCTCCAGGTCTTTGACTCCGTATTGGGACCACTGGGGCATCCAGCCTCATGTACTGAGCAGCTACCCAATTCTCACCCTCTCCAGTGTGAGACAACCATTGTTGAACTACCCAGATCACATCCTGTAAAACAATCTAAGAACTCCTCTTTTAATATACATATATGTTCTGTCAGTTCTGTTCCCTTAGAGGACCCTAAGTAATAAAAGAAAGCAGTTAGATGGAGATGAAAATTTATATCAAAGACAAACCTGAAATGACATTTGTAGACTTGAAAACTGGATTATCTAGTATTTCCCTTGAGATCCAGCCATACTTTCTTACAAATGAGTTTCCTGAGGCATTGGCCATGGTTGGTGATGGGAGTGTTGAGAATCAAGGATGCTCAAAGATCTCTTAGAAATCAACAGTGCTCTTTTGCTTTCAGTGGTTGAGGTATATCTTGAATATGTATTATTTTTACTCCATGTATACAGACAGTCAAAATTAAGACAGTTGTGGGAGGCACAGCTGCTTAAGGCACATAAGGAAGAGAATGGGAGCATGATCTACCAAATACACTAATTTTGAAGGGTCCAGGAATATAGTAATATAAAATTGTAAACCTAAAATAAAATAAAAGTTGACAGTCATCAGCTCTAGAGATAAACTTCTAAAATGGCTCTCTGCTTTACAGCCAGCTCCTCTGTCAACAGCCAGGGGTTAACTTTTAA